TTGGATACCAAAGAGTGGAATAGCTGGGACATATTGATTTCATTTCTAATATTTTCAGAATTACCATAGTGCTTTCCAGGTAATTTGTAGTCCCATCAACAAATATGAGTGTATCTGCTCCTCCATATACTTGCCATAATTTACTATTATTTGTGTCCTTGACAAATGCTATTTTAGCTGAAGTGGGATGAAATCTCAACATAACCTTGATTTGCATTTCCCTGATTACAACAAAAGTTAATGAGTGCTGGTGAGATTGTGAAGCAAAGGGAGACCTTGTCCACTGTAATTGGAAATCTAAATTATGCAGCCATAACGGAACACTATATGAAGGCCCCTCAAAAAATCATAAGTAGATTTACCATATGACCCATCAATCTCACTGTGGGATTGGTATCAAGGTTGAGCATGGGGATGGACTTCAAATAGATGCAAGAGAATTTGGGGGGTACAAAATGTTTTAAACTGTATGATTATTTTTATTGCACAAATCTCTGGCAATGATGGCTAAAGAAAATCCTGTAGCATTCCAGCAGACACCAAGAAAACAACCTTCCAAACAATTGAATACATTATCTCAAGGTTTTTTACATTTGAAATAGGCCTTAATGGTGCTCATCATTCATTAGCCTCCAGGTGTGGGAGAACCATTGTAGTTGACATTGGAAATGACCAAACTTCAGAGGTGCCCGGAGTGTCATCTGCCACCAGCTGCAGTGTCCTCGGGCAGTCCCATGGTGGGGGGGAGGGCCACCTGCTGGAAAGTTCCCCCTGCACCCGCGACCGGCTTGCATTGCACACGTGGCAGCCGCTGCACTGCTTCACACACCCTCTGGTGATGAAAAGTATTTAGTAGTAGCCTTTTGTTGCAACTTTTCCCCTGATACTCCTTCCTCCTCTGAACTTTCTTCCTCTTTCTGACTAGAATTCCTGGGCTTTTATCAACGTATGCCCTAACTGTTCTTGGTTCCACTGGGGTGACTCCTTCCCTTAGCAATTTACTTAACACCCTTTCCATATTTTCGTAACAAAGACAATACAACACACCAAGACAAAACAAGACACAAACATACTGTATCAATCCTCTCCATTTTCCTGAGATGGCCATCCTTCCTCTCGCCCTATCTGCTTCCAGGGACGAGCAGCTTTGCTCCTGTCCCATCTATCTTCAGGGACAGGCAGCCTACCTTGTCACTCACCCCCAGCATCCTGGGGCTCCCCATACGGGCCACCATCTGCCGCAGTCTGGCGGGGGTGTCAAGCAACTTGTGAAGGTTGAAACAGCAGGAGGCCCTTTACTGTAGGACAGCAGAGGTATTTATACCTAACTCATTATATACAGTTTGTTTCAATTAGCATCATCTAGATACAGCAATTAGTCATTAAGGAATCCTCATTATCTTAATAATTACACACAGCTTAACTTAATTAACATCATCTAGATACAGCAGTCAGCCATTAAGGAATCTTCATCATCTTAATGGCTTGCTGGTGTTACTTCTCAAACCACTCCTCCTGGCACAGTGCCAGGCACCATCTTGACTTGTCCATGGCCCTCAACATATTTCTGGTTTTTAATTTGACTTAGTTTCTACTTTGATTGACTATTCCTTATATAAATATGTTGCTTGCATTGCCTGTGGTTCTGTCTTCCAAATGGTCTAGTCTATTGGTGATGCTTTCCACTGAATTTTTTAATTTGATTTATTGAGTCCTTCATTTCCGCGATTTCTGCTTTTTTTCCAGAATCTCTGCTTCTTTATTAAAGTGATCTTTCATTTCCTGTATTTTCTGTCTGATTTCACTCCTTATACCATCATTTACTTCACAGATAAGTTTAACTATGTACATCCTAAAGCTCTTTTCTTACATTTCTTCACCAATGTTGTCAATGGATTCTATTATTGGAGCATCTTGGTTTGTTTGGGGCCCTTTGTTCCCTTGTTTTTTTCAGTTTTTTTATTTTCTTCCCATCTAGCAGTATGGATCGGAGGCAATACAATTTCTACCTTGTAGACTTATCATGTCCCTGAAGGTTTCCAGTGTCTTGCCTTTAAAAGGAAGACTGATATTAACAGCATCCAATGCAAACAACATATGGCCTTAAACCTAATAGCTCCTATTAAGATGCCTACTGATTTATTGCAATAAACAGAAATGACGTGTTTAATTATTGTCTACAATATAAACAGTAAATTTGTTAAAAGAGTTTACAATTTTAAATGGTGGATAAAAAGATAACAGAATGGTGTATGATGTGATATTTATTAGGGAGGCAGAGAGAAGATAGATGTAAAAATTTATAGAAAGAGTGAAAGAGGAATTGAGTGAGGTTGGATATTAGCAGAAGAAGAGAGAAAGAAAATCCAGGAAAACATATAAGTGTGAGAAAAAAAATTATACGAGGTGAAAAAAAAAAGATACACAACAGACTTGTAAAAAAAAACCAAAAAACTATTCAGACATCTCAGACATCCCAGTCCACAATAAACTAATGCATGAAAAATACTTGGTTTCAAAAGTTTCTCAGCTTCCCTTCTTGGGTGGGGTTGATAAGTGGGGTTGTCTACAGTTTGATGTTATCTTTAGTCTGGTGGATGCCAGACTTATTGGCTGAGTAAGCTGCCCTCACACCCTCTTTCAACCTTCTGACCAGATGTAGTCAGCCCCATCTGTCTATAAGCATTTCAGGACTCAAGGAGCTTTGGAGATCCCAGCTCTTTCTAACCTTTCTGACCTGTGCTCCTGCCAAGAAAATGCTCCCAGTCTCTGATTTTTTCACAAAATTGCTAGGCACAGAGTGGCCCATGTAAACCCAGCTACTATCTGGCAGATCTAGGCTTCAGATATCCCAGGCTCAGCCATGTTGCAGTCTCAAGATCTCAATTCCATTCTAACATTCATTCAGTGATACCACCAGGGATGAACTCACAGAAAGGAAGGACCCTGTGAAGAAGCAGCAAGATGGTGGCCAATAGCCCTCCTAGCAGGAAGACCTCAGGGGCAGCTAAACCTGCAGGTACCTATCCCTAGACCTCCTGGCCCTGGCCAGTGTCCCCAGACAAAGTTGGCTGTGCCTGAGATGGCCATGGCAGCACAACTGCAGGCACTCTGGCCCCCCAGGTCCTCGCCAATGTCCCAAGATGGAGGTGGCCACATGCAACCAAATCTACAGGCACCCTATCAATGGAGCTCTGTGTGGTGGCAGCAGCATCGATGGTTTGAATCAAAGAATTATAACCAGACAAATGATTTTGGAATGTGAAAGTTAAGACCAACATATATAAGTGTGGAATAATAAGAGGAATATTGTTTCAAAGGGTTTTTTCTGAGGACTCTGATTACTGGAATTGACCATTAAATATAGTGTTACTTTTATAACTAGAAATAGATAAAGTTGAGGCACATGAAAAATATATAATATCGTTAATCCTTAAAGAAATGTAAATTAAAACTCCAATGAGATACTAGTTTACACACACTACAGTAGCTAAAAGTACAAAGATTGACATAACAAATATTGACCAGAACATGAAACAGTAAAAACTGTCATACACTGCTGGCACAAGCATGTTGTAGTATAATTTAGTAGTTTCATAAACAGTTAAGCATACATATATCATATGTTGATGCTGATATTCCATGTCTACATAATGAAAGATAATGAGGACAGTCCACAAAAAGACTTGCACATGAATGTTCATACCACTCTATTTGTAATAGAGTGGAAACACTGGAAATTATTACTCCAAAGTACATTAACAGTTGAATAATTCAACAAATTCATCATATTGAGTGGCATATCAATACAATGGACTACTATTCTGCTGTATATATATAACAGCAAAGATGAACCCCAAAATAATTATGTGATGAGTCTTTTGCTGAGGGCCATTGCCAAGTAGGAATGACACATCGAAATTTCCTTGCCAGCGTACCCCATGTTAAATGGACTTGCCTTGGAAATTTGCTGTGACATTGCATGTGTGTTTGAGAAAGGTGACCCTGCTCAAGGACAAGGGTGGATCCAGGTTTGGGGTGTATCCTGCAGGTTTTAGGAAGT